GGCATTGTACTGATTTTGTAGTACACTTTTTTAAAAAAAGAGAAGAAAAACTGGCGAAATATGTTGCTATTAGGAGAATTAAGAGCTATGTTCTTCCTAACTGCAAAGATGTGGTCTTCTTAAATGCAAGCTTTGCTATGACTTTTAAAACTCTAATTCTCATCCCTGGAACAGAAAGCTCTTTCTCCTCTTGTGTTTAGTGCATAATTGCCATTAACATTTGTACATACATCAGGGGAAGAATGAACCTCAGAAAATCTAGCAACAATAAGGATCTGTGTCTTCTAAATTTCATTATACAGTACACAATGAGGGGCCATCTTACCATGAAGTAAAGCGTGCATAATAGATATGTGTTTTCGAGATTGCTGCCCTGCATAAATCCACCAGTGTCCTGTAATCCGTGTCCCTATTATAACATGCAAATTGCTGCTGCAGACAAAACTCTCTCTTTTCCCCCTAACAGTCTGATTTCACATATACTGTACTGACGTATGCATTCCTAACCGTGCGTTTGCCAACAGTCTAACTGATAACAAGAATCTGTCCATTAGTGAAGAGTGTCATGCAGACTGCAAATTTGTCAGCAACAATTCAACAATTTCAGTTTATTTATTTGATTTTAAAAAGCTGTCTTATCAGCTGAGGGTGGCTGGGATGTGGTCATTTTGCAGTGGAAAAATGTCACAAGAGCAGCAAGTTAAGAGGCCCCCAGTTCCCTCCATAATGCCAGTCTTCCTCTTAAAATTGCAGTCTTAGTGTAGGAGAGAAACAAAGTCTCCACGCACCCCCCCCAAAAGAATGGAACCACGTATAACAAACAAAACCTCCACTGCCCCAGAAACACGAAACTGTCCCAGAACAACATGCAATGTACACGTAGTTCTGCTATTGGAAAAGATAATTTATTTGGGAAACGCAGTGTGTTAAGTCAGCAGTGTTGCTCTTTCAGCAGACCTGAGAAATGGGCCCAGAATAGATTTCATTTGCCAAAGGCTGCTATTGGGCTCTATTAAAATCTGTGTTTTGCTACAGGTTATTTGAAGATTAAGGGTCAAAATAGACAGAAAGAATGTCCGTAAGAGAATAAGATGAGCCTGCTAGATCAAGCCAATGTCCCATCTAGCCCAGCATCTTGTTCTCACAGTGGCCAACCAGGTGTCTGTGTGAAGCCCGGCAAGCAGAACAGCATCTAAAGCAGGGGTCAGCAAACGTTTTCAGCAGGGGACTGGTCCACTGTCCCTCAGACCTTGTGGGGGGCCGGACTATATTTTGGAAAGAAAGAAAAAATGAACGAATTCCTATGCCCCACAAATAACCCAGAGGTGCATTTTAAATAAAAGCACACATTCTACTCATGTAAAAACATGCTGATTCCAGGACCAGATTTAGAAGACAATTGGGCCAGATCCGGCCCCCGGGCCTTAGTTTGCCCACCCATGATCCAAAGGCAGCAGCCACCCTGACTTCTTATTTTAATTAATAGCACACATTAGGGAGGAACATCAGCATCAGGACTGCAGCATCTTCCCTCACCAGCCATTATCCCAACAAAAAAACCCTCTGCACTAGTGGTCCTTCTCTCACACTAAAATAAGTGGGAATTTTCATGGAACACCCTACGCCTGCATGCTGCAATCCTGACAAAAATTACCCCTATTCTGCCTTTTTTTATTCTTAAAAACAACAACACATCTAGTGTCTTGTAAATTGTATTCCAACAGCGTAATCCTAAACATGTTTACATACAAGATGTTCAATGGAGCACAAGGGGTCTTCCCTACCAAATATGTTTAGAAGTGCACTTTATAGTGCAGGATCAGGCTATGTATCTTAATAACAGAATATTATATTGATATTTAATTATGTATTTTATTAGCTTAATACCATCATTTCTAAGTGGTGCACAACAGGGATAGAGCATCAAATCAGAAAAACACACTTAAAACGCTTGTTGATTTTTTAAAAAAGCATTTACTGTGCCAGTCATCCCCATTTATTCCATGGCTTTAAATTATACCACAAAACTAGCGTTAAAAAGTGGGAAAGTGTCCTTATATTCATAGATAATGGGTAGTAAATCCCACTGTATTCAATGGGTCTTACTCACAGGTAAGCGTGCCTAGGATTGCAGCCTAAATGTTGGGTTAAAATAAATTCTTAGGTCATGAGATATATAACAAGATCAAATGCAAAACATAGTTTCAGATTACCAGGGATTAAGGGCCAGATTAGACAATATGCAGGAGATCTATGACCAGGAGAGGCATCTGTATTGGATTAGAACAGAAATAATGTTGGGGGCAGTGTGTGCTTCAACACCCACACCCCACCCTAGTACAGTTTACCAGCAAAGAGTAATTTGGAGGGGGGAGGAAGCATCTGGAAAGATATCTCTGTTAGGAAAATTTGTAGAGTCTCTAATCTGGAGCAGTAACATGTTCTAGAACAGGGCCCTCCTATGTGCATTTTCTTCAAAACTACGGTAAACAAGTTTATGCACACTTTTAAAAAATGCATTTACTATGAGATATGATTCAACTATAAATCACTCTCTCTTCTGAAGCTGCTATTAGAACTGTAAAGGAAAAAGCATTGGATGTTTTCTACTATGGGATAATACCTTAATAGGGGATGTTGATGGGAGAAAGGGTTGAGGGTGGAAAACCCTTCTCCCTCCCAGTTCTGCTTCCATAATCCTATTAGGCCCTCCCATTTGGTTGCTTTTAAGTTAAACTTAATTGGAAAATCTGATCTCGTATTCTTCTATGTCTCATCTGTTTTGGTTCTAGGAATCTAGGTAAAGGTAAAGGGACCCCTGACCATTAGGTCCAGTCGTGAATGACTCTGGGATTGCGGCTCTCATCTCGCTTTACTGGCCAAGGGAGCCAGTGTACAGCTTCCAGGTCATGTGGCGAACCAGAGCAGTGCACGGAAATGCTGTTTACCTTCCCGCCGGAGCGATACCTGTTTATCTACTTGCACTTTGACGTGCTTTCGAACTGCTAGGTTGGCAGGAATCTACCTCCATCCAAATTTAGATTATGTACAGTATGTACATAATTTTCAGAGATGTGCTCCTTTCAGGTCCTCGATGGAAGATTCTACTTTTTCTTATCCATTTCCTACTTTTTTTCTATGCTATATGCACACAGGCTTGCATCAACTAAGGATCCAAGGAGGCACCAGTTTTCATCTGGTCTTGTCCTTGTTGTAATCGGCATTGTTTCTGTTCCATTACAGAAGCTTCTGCTAAAACCTACATTGTTTGTCTCGCTATCCACTATGGCCAAATTTGACATAATTTCAATACACTTCAGTAGAAGGGAAACATCAAAAGCAATGCAGAAAATAACACAATTAGTTATAACATTTGCAGATTAAAAGGGGGAAAAATGACAACAGTGAATACTGCCCATCTTCTCTTGTGTGGTTTCTATTCCTGACCTATGACAAACAGGAAGGCTGTGGCAACTTCCGCTCCCGTTTCCATTTCAGACAGAATCCTCTAACATAACCACTGAGTCCCATGTTGAGCAAAAGATTCCTGCATTGCAGAGGGTTGGACTAGATGACACTTGTGGCCCCTTCCAACTGTACAATTCTATGATCCCTAGCATCAACTGAGTCCTATCAAAATTAGTGATGCTAAACAGAGTAAGTTTTAGTCTTCCACTGCATAGTTAATCTAAATCTAAAATCTGTGTAGGGGAGTCCTAATTCAGATATGCTGCCTTTTGAACAGCAATGAAAGAAGAAAGCAGCAATGCTGCTCTCACCTCTCAGTTCCAGGGATACCTTTCCTAAAAGTCTTGCCCTTCCTGCTATAAAAAAGACAGGTTGCAAAGGTAACAATGGGCCTTTGGAGCAGTTGGGGTGGGAAGAGGCACTTGCTATTCTGTAAGCACTTTAATAGTTTCTCCATATTGGATCTGCCATCTCATGAACTGAACAAACTTATTAATAATGACATGAGAGCATCCTACCTATTGTCCTCTCCTACCCTGGACCCTAGGTGTTGCCTAATCAACATCATCAGTACCATATGAAAGAAGAGAAATGTAGTTGTTCCTCTTCTTGCCTGTTCCCTCTATTACCATGTTATCCGCACACAACTCCTGTTACTGCACTGGTGACCTGGTCTCTAGGTGTGGTCTGTAGCATTTGAGGGATGAGAGCAGACAAAAGGACTGCAAAAGTTAGGGAAATGTTTTTTTTTCCAGCTGGAAATATAACAGGCAACATCCAGCACCTGTGGTAAATATGCCAACAAAATCCTAGCACCCTGAGCCTGAACATTGGGTCTGAACTATCCACCTACAGCTGTAGCTACAGGCTAGCTGTTACTTAGTCCCACTGTGGTATTTTAGCAAGCCGTATCAATTCTGTCCAAGGACATCCTAATCCCTGAAACAATAGTTCTGTCTGGACAATGAGACTTTGTGTGGTGTTCAAGGAACAGATTTGGGTGATACTTAAATGATGGGGTAGTGTTTGCGTTTTGTGTGTAAGTAAGACTGGTGTCCTGTATGGCTCTGCAGGACTTGGCTCCATTTCCGTTTTTGCAAAGCCACAGAAGATAAAAGGCCCTGATAAAGGTTTCAGCTTGCAGTTAAAAGACTACTCTAGAACCCTCAAACCACTGAGAATCAACATTCTCTTATATACGCCAAGCTGTTCGCCTTCTTGGCGTCTATAAACTTACAATGACATACAGTGCGGCAAACAATGCTTTTTAAATCAGTTATGGATGCCTTGAAACATTTCTCCTGGAAAGAAACAAGCACCATCGTATCTTTATTCAGAACCCTAAAATAAAATAAGAATGCATGGTTTACACATAGGCCAATTTTGCTAAAACATAAAGCAAACAGAATCACTGGGAAAGCCACTACCGCATAAGCTAGCCCCAGATTACCTCATTCACTCAGTTTCTCCCTACCCCTTCGTTATCCTTTGATAAGATGCTCTGAAAAAGATATGGGAGACAACACACATACCCCAAGACGATGCTCAAAATACGCCAGCCTTGATTTTGTCAAAACGAAGAATCGTACTTTAAAATTGGAGGGAGATGTCCTTCTCTTTTGCTGGGACTTTTTGATCAGCTCTTCTTCAAGAAGAACACCGTTGTTCATTGTTCATCAAGTAACGGGGGTCCTTCCAGGATGGAAAGGCACCTGCCCCAATACCAGAGCACATAAGCCTGGGAAAGAGAATTCATGTGATAGACACTGTTGTCTTTCACAAAAGTGGATGCAAAAAGCAGCGTAGGTGCTTATCTTTCCATCTGTCACTCAGGCAGTGCTGCTCAGCTAGCTTCCTTTCTGATGTAAAAACCATAACCACATCCTTTCATACACTGTCACCTGAAAAGTGCACACTATATTATTTTATATGCTCATAGAAAGGGAGGTGGGAATGAATAAGAAAAAGAAAATGGAAAGGTAAATCAGGCACCAGATTAAAAAAAAAAGCCAAGAGACAGTTGCTTACAATTTACCTAATAAACACAATAATAATAAAGGAATGAATGTGTAAAGCACGAACATTAGGTCTGATGAAGTCCACACCCGCTATTTAAATAACTGATAGGTCTGATGTTTCCACAGAAAGCCCTTTAAACTTGCATGTCTTGCTGTCATCTGAGATTTATTAATTTATTGTATCAGGTATGACCTAACTTCTCAATATCTCCCCAAAGAAGGTTGTTTAGAAAACCTTTCCCAAGAGCTTAAGACTAAATGGGGCATATTTGAAAGAGGTCAAAACAGATATATAGCCAGTTCTAAAGCATTATTGCTAATTGTCCTATGTTTATTTTTTTTATTTGAAATACATTTTTTAAATGTTTTGATGGAATTTTTTCATGTGTATAGTTATTATGTATGGATTTTTAAATGGACTTTTGCTTGTAAACTGCTTAGAAGCCATTATGGCTGTATATAAATCATCATCATCTTCATCTTATTGCTGATTGTGTTTGATATATAGGGACCCTTATTGCATATTGTATTTTATCACTGGATTATGGCACTGACCCATGACAGGGCCTTCTTGGAAGTGGTTCCCCATTCATAGGGTGTCTGCCCTGGTGAGGAGCATCTCTCTCCCTCATTATTAACTTCAGGAGGAATTTAAAAATATTTCTGTTCATCAGACATTTGATAACTGAAAGATACTGTTCCTGGCAACCGTGAAATTACCTGTGAGAATATGTGTCTGTTTTTAGATGTTGTTTTTAGATTCTCTCTCTCTCTCTCTCTCTCTCTCTCTCTCTATATATATATATATGCGCACTGCAATGAATAAACAATTAAATTTAAAAATTACATGACATGGGAGATTTGTTATTAGGGCTATAATACTATACAAAATTTCCTAGGAATAAGTTCAATTGAATTCAATGGTCTTTACTTCTGAGCAGAAATGTATTGAATTGCACTGTTAATAAGTACATACAATGAGCCCTCGTTAGATCAAACCAAAGTCCATCTGGTTCACACAGTGGCCGATCAGATAACCACGGGAAGCCCACACACAGTACATGAGCACAACAGCACTCTACTTTTATTTCAAAGCAGCCAAAGGGTGTTACTAATTTGCTCTGAAAAGCAGAATCCTGAGTGAGGTTTTTTTTATCCCTTCCCTTGTTATTTCTCACACCTAAATCACTGTCAGAGACTGCTGTTTGCCTCATCAGGTACAAAAAACAAGTGCAAAGAAAATTAAAAATACACCTCCATTGAGGTTTGCACATTTTTTTATCCCAAAAAGTATTTTCACTTTTTCAGCGCTTTCCATATAAGAATTTCACAAAACTGAAATAATAAAGACAATGTTTGTATTCCTTTCAAGACAATATCACTGCTGCTCCCTACTGCCTAAGAGAGGCATAATACAAAGACAAATGTAATTTAAGTGCTGTATCTTATATTAACATAAGACGATATCACCTACCAGAATTAATTCTTCACTTGTAAACATTTGGCTGTAGATATTCTCCTGGTGCTGAACATCCTGAGACATGACTCTGCTTTTATTACACTGTTGGTTTATACATGATGTATGCAAATTCCAAGCTCCTTTGCATTGTGTTAGAAACAGAAAATATATTCTTAGAAGGGGTGAGGAATCTCCAGACCATGGGCCCGATGTGGCCCTATGGAGCCTGCCCACCTGGCCCCTGGGATGTATTTGGTTCTGCCCTTGGGTTGCTTGAGCTTCTTATTAGGCTGGAGAAGTTTTCCTACTCCTGTTCTGTTTTGTTCCAAGGACTATTATGCAAAACCAGTGTGGACCAGTGGAAACCCGATAGCGCATAGGCCCCAGATATGTGAAAGCCCACAGACCCAAAGAGGGAGCTCTTTTGGTGGGCATGGCAGAGAACATTCTCTGTGGCAGTTTCAAAATTGTGGAATTCCCTCCCCACAGATTTCTGTGGCTTGTGTTGAAGACACACCTCTTTACCCTGAGCTTTCACAATTGCCAGGGTATTTTTGTGTCAGTGCTCACAAATACTCAGCCATTTTGTGCTGGCACACACACTGTTGTTGTTTAGTCGTGTCCGACTCTTTGTGACCCCATGGACCAGAGCACGCCAGGCACTCCTGTCTTCCACTGCCTTCCGCAGTTTGGTCAGACTCATGTTTGTAGCTTCGAGAACAGTGTCCAACCATCTCGTCCTCTGTCGTCCCCTTCTCCTTGTGCCCTCAATCTTTCCCAACATCAGGGTCTTTTCCAGGGAGTCTTCTCTTCTCATGAGGTGGCCAAAATATTGGAGCCTCAGCTTCAGGATCTGTCCTTCCAGTGAGCACTCAGGGCTGATTTCCTTAAGAATGGATACGTTTGATCTTCTTGCAGTCCATGGGACTCTCAAGAGTCTCCTCCAGCACCATAATTCAAAAGCATCAATTCTTCGGCGATCAGCCTTTCCAGCTCTCACTTCCATACATCACTACTGGGAAAACCATGGCTTTAACTATACGGACCTTTGTTGGCAAGGTGATGTCTCTGCTTTTTAAGACGCTATCTAGATTTGCCATCGCCTTTCTCCCAAGGAGCAGGCGTCTTTTAATTTCGTGACTGCTGTCACCATCTGCAGTGATCATGGAGCCCAAGAAAGTAAAATCTCTCATTGCCTCCATTTCTTCCCCTTCTATTTGCCAGGAGGTGATGGGACCAGTGGCCATGATCTTCGTTTTGTTGATGTTGAGCTTCAGACCATATTTTGCGCTCTCCTCTTTCACCCTCATTAAAAGGTTCTTTAATTCCTCCTCACTTTCTGCCATCAAGGTTGTGTCATCTGCATATCTGCATATGACACAAGATGATGCAGATGGCACACACACAGAGCACTTATATTTCAGGACCCTTTATTTTTTTACCTTCCAAAAGCGTATATTAGAAGGCATTCTATTCATGAGATCGCAATTTGTTTTTAATTGTTTTAATATAGTATTTTAAATTGATGCAGCCCACCCTGGGATCTCATAGTGACGGGAAAGTAAAAAATTGTAGAAGCAACAGCATCAGCAGTGTAAGAAGTTTCCTACAGAAGACGAATGCTGTCTTTGGTTTTTGTGCTGCAGGGGAAAACGCGCAGCGCCATCTAATCTCAGCTGTAGGACAAATGCTGGTGAATCACATTTTAGGCATAGTCTCCTCTGAGCTTCTCTTGCGATCTCACCCCTTCAATGATGAGACCAGAATCACAAAGCAACCAGGAAGTCCTGTGCGTGGAAGAATGACCAGTCTAGGAGGTTCCGGGTTCTAATATCTATGGCAACGAGGATGACGAAACCTCGTTGGATATCAAGAGCAGCCAATCAGAAAGCAACTCTTTCACTGTTGCTCCCGCCCTCCGTCCCCCCACCCACTGCCTTTTCTCCTACCCGGCTGCCTGTCGTCCCGACGCGTAAGCCAATAGGGAGGCAGGACGCCGGAAGTGGCTCTGTGCCGGTAGTTGCGGGGAGGGAAGAAGCGGAGGGAAGCGAAGCAGGAACGAAGGCGGCAGCTGCGAAGGGAGACCAGGTGAGTTGCGCCGATTTGTGCCTGCAGAACCAGGTAGGGCCAGGGCTCCTAAAGTGTGGGGGGGGGGGGGGCGGGGTTCATTTTGATCTTGAACCGCCATTTGCCCGCCGTTTCAAAAGCTCTTGTCTGCCCCTCCCTCTAAAAATGTTCGCCGACCTGGTTCGCTTCGCCACAGGGTGAGAATCTAAACTGCTACTTGAGCTGGAAGGGATCTTCAGAAGAGACTTTTTTTCCCTTTCACGACAGTGAAAACGCACTAAGGTCGACTCAGCCGTCCATATTACATTTAAAAAATACATTATATTCAAAATACATTAAATACATTATATTCAAAATATATACAGTCCAGAAAAATGTTTACACTCCAGAGAAGTCGAATCGGGTTATCTTTAGGCGCCAGGCGAAAACATTCCTCTCCTTCCAGGCCTTTGGCTAATTAAACAATCAATGGGCGTTCAAATTTTGTGTGTGTGGTTCTGATGATTGTTACGATGTTACATATTTTTGCCATTTTATTTGTATGCCGCCTTTCCATGGTTAAAACTATGCTCAAGGTGGCTTACGGCAGGAAAAGGTGTACATAATCGCACACGTAGCAGAAGTAGCCGTAAATAAATTAAAACATATCAAAAAGACCACAACCAAAGTGAACAATTTCTACATTAAGTCATGAAAGATTTAAATGTGCAAAAAAAAATATTTTGACCAAAGCCCCTAAAAATTAGCCCAACACAATGGTCTGTTCAGAAACCTCAGCTTTTGTAGGTGCAGTCAGACAGGGCTCCACCCTCTCAGGCCAGGAAGGAAGGGAACAGCTCTTCCAGAACTCACAGCCAAGATTTGTTTTTATACCATAAACTGCTTTGTAGTACTTGGATGAAGGGCAGTATATCAATTTAATAAATAATAACATTAGTGTCTGTTACTGGGAGGAATTGTTTTGGATCAGGAAAAAGTAAGCAAGGTGACCGTGTGTTGCTCCATGATCCATGAGTTGGAAACCATGCTATTTAAACATTTACCTGGGAGTAAATCCCATTAAGTCCCATTTATCTTTAGGCACTAAGCAAAAACTTTCCACTTTAAAGAAGCCTTTGGCTTCTGTCTGTGGCCTCTTAGCATGGGGTGGGGCTATAATGTATTTTTAATGTATTTTTGTTTTGTTTTAATGTAGCTATGTGGGCTTTTGTTTTGAGTTGTCTTTGGCAAGAAAAAGTGACTGATAAATTTACTAAATAAATA